TAAGCGATATATGATTCAAAATATATACTTTAGATGTTAACGGCAATATAAAATGTGAATATACAGTGTGAATATCAAATAGAACGGAGTTTTTTCAGAAAGTTTTCCCAGCACGAGTTACTTGCATCTTCAGGTGTGGTTTGCGCGACAGCTTGCCCTGAACTGAGCTCTGTTTTGAGCTATGGTCGATACCGTTCAACCAAAATATGTATTTTTAGTAAAATAAGTTAATTATTCTAAGAAATCTTTCCATTTCTTAAGAACGATTAGTCAAAAATGACAAGTTACAAAGGACTACTATTCGATTTGAAATTTCACAAATATTGCAGAGACGAAATTCAGTTTCTCTATACAGATACCATATACAAATCACCTTCGACCATCAAACAAACCTATCTAAACAAAAAGAAGCAGTCACGTGCACTTTTTAAATATAAATGTACGTTTTAAGGCTTGCCATATTCATTTCAGTCATACCTAAAATAAAATGTCTTTCCGCATTAATTTAAATTAGATTGTGCAAAAGTATGCATTAATTTAATTGCACGTCTGATAAATATTTCACAAAATACCGCACTTCAACAGCTCTTTAGTAGAAACAAAAGTAAAACTATCTGGCTAAAACTAATTGTACGCGCATTTGAATTTGTTTGAAAACCAGACAAAATAACAAATTCCTGGTTTAAACGGTTAATTATTTTCATAATTAATAATGTGATAGTGCACGCGGCAAATGGCAACTCACAGTATTATGATTCAGCAGTATTGTAGCATGGCTTTGATTTGTGTATCGGGAAATAACATTTCGATATTTATGAGTCGACAAACTCGCCAACATTGAAAATAAATATATGAACTTGAATAGAACGTGCTTTGTACTCTACAAAAAGAGGAAAACTTCTCAATGAAACAAAGCAAATCATTTAACATAACGATTAAATTTTCCTGGGGAAACGGTTGCGCTGTCGTAAAACGTCTGCTGCAAGGCAATTACATAAATAGTTGATTTTTTTGAGCTAACTTTGAATTCCTTTTACTTTCAATTTAGTTTTTTTTGACGTTCTACTGAAACTTCTGATCTATTTTCACATAGTTTGCACATTATTTGAAACAGTTTAATAAAATCAAGGCAAATAGGGCAGCTTTTATTTTTTGATTTATGAAATATTAATTCTTAAATAAATGTTCGAGAATTCAAGTTTTTCAGTCTTAGAATGTTGGCGAAAGTAATAAATTGCCGGTTGTCAGAGAATATGCCAAGATTTCAAATCCTGTTTATTTTCCGGATATTCTCGATATCCATACGGCTTTGATATCAGAATTTGTCGTGTAATTTCCGAAACGTATTAGTTTAACGAAAAAACATACTTTTCTTGCTACCAATCAGGATTACATTTTCAAAGTATAATGGGGGCTGATCAATTTTTATAAAAAGCATTAACAGAGCACGATATGAATTTGATTTTACTTCCAGGTGTTCAGTAAATTATCGAAAATTCCTTGTAGGAATAGGCTTTATGCAAAAATACTACTTCAACGGCAAGGTGAACACAACTGCTACCGTCATTTGTCAGGGAGTGATAGTCAAACTTAAATCATACATTCTCCTCGCTTCTGGCATAGAAATGCAGCAAATTTAATTAAATTGAGCTTAGCTTCTCGGATCTTAGCTGGTTATGCAGAATAATCTATATATCTGCTATTTAGCCAAATACATCATGCAAATAGAATTTGCAGGGTAATGTTACCTCCAGGTTAGGGTATATTATAGCCAGTTAAATCTCCACAAACCTTGCTTAAAGTCAGGTACCACCTTAGTGTGCGAAACTCGTGATACTCATTATCCTATGTAAATATTTACCCAGTTAGGCATGATAAGGTCAAAAGATCAGATATGAATTATTAATTCAGTCTGGCTTTACCCTTCATAATACCTTTGGCTACTACATTGCTTAAATTGTGCAATTCAATTTTATTATCGCTTCATTCTATATTTGCAAACTTGATCTTGTCTAGATTTTCTCCTAACTGGAAAGTAGTGTCTGCATTTTGTAATTTCAGTATCTATATTTCGCCATGTGTACTCTTGAAATGTTAGAGGCAATTCGCATTTGATAAGCTATCCATCAAAGTCACTGGCAGGCGCTAGCATTTGGAAACCCTGATCGAAATATTTCATTCGAAAACTGAAAGCGTTTTGAACAAGTTTTTGTATTTTTGCCAAAGAGAGGGTTTATTTATCCAGATTTAAAAGATTTCGTCTAAATATATCGATGTTTAAGTGAGCATTTGCGAATGCGAATCTTAATTTATTTAATTAAATCTCGGTCAACAGTTATTCATATTTAAAAAAGCAGTTTCCAGGACTCAAAAGTTCACGTTTAACAAAAATAAACGAATGGTGAAAGGTCAAGTAACAGATATGAAAGTAAGCATAAAAGTTTCTCGAATTCCCATTTTCGCAAGAAAAATTGCCACATTTCAAGTGATATTCTATCATTTTCGCAATCAGTCACTTAAGTAAAACCTAATAAATTTGTCAGTGGGAAAGTCAAATAAATTAGATCGTGAAATCGAGAAAGTTTGTAGTAGGATTACTTAAGTTTGACGCTAAAAGTTAGACCCAACATTATTTTATTTCAGTTGAGGAAAAACTACATTCAAATTGGATTTGAAAGAATATATTAATCCAAGTCCGGCTGAAACTTTATTGAATTTCAATTAGGGAACGTTTGAGCTTAAACATGCTGAGAATTGAAATGGCAAGTAACCTAATTTAGTTGAAAAGGCTAGACCCTGCGGCTGCGGAAAGTCAAATATTAATAATTTACAAGGTGAATTTCACGACAGGACGACGTCTTCTATTCTTTCAATAAATTAGTACATCCAATATAGCCCGTAGATTTGAAGCAAAACAGCAGAAGGATAGTGAGAACGGAATAAGAGAACTGACACCAGAGGAGAGCAAGATAAGTTGAATTACGTCACATTCAGCAACTTGGAAAGTAGTTGAATTAATATTCGATGAGCAATTTATCATTTATTTCGTTAACTACTAATTCTGATTGTTTTGGAAACAATTAAGAACATTTCAGAAAAGGTTGGCAAAAAGCAAGACTGGAAAAATAAAGAGGAAGCAGGTACCGTTTCCGGCTCATATTCTTCGCGTTCTGTTGATCGACTGCGGACAGTAAAAAACGGGTTTAAATGGGATTTATCTTGCTGGTCCACGTTCATTAGAGATTTACGGAATAATTAATTGTTTCCCGATAATGAATTGGAACTAAAATGTGTCCCTTTGACGTGGAAACAGAGCGTCCTATTGCAAACGACCTTTATGCACGGATGGCTAATTTTTTTAATTAATTTCGGAGCGGTAATTTATTCGCCTCTCTCAGTCATATTTTATGCAATATGGCTACTGAAATATCGTCTCTATTAACTAAAAGATATAGGAGCAGAGTGGAATGGCATTTTAGTTCCAGGACTCACAACCTTCCGCCACAAGATTTAAACTAGCTATTTATTTTAATATGTGAGCAGTTATGTTCGAATGCTACGAATATTCGCTCAAAACATTCCTCTGTGAAAATACCGGAGCAAAAATTGATGCGCTGTGCACTGCTAATTTTATTGCGTATCAACATGCTTAGGTATCTATGCCTGTTTGCAGTTTTCCGCCATAGTAATTTTCCCAGAAGTATGTTAGGGCACAATCGAGTTATGAAAAATAACATTAAAAGGGCTGAACTACATACCATAACTTTATTAACATGTTCTTTGATAAATTCATTCATTACCATTCTAGGGCCAAATACAATTCTAGAGTCAAAAGCTTCGTTGTGAGGCCAATATTCTGTTCGTATCCATTATAGTATTTACGCGTTTCGGGAAATCTAACTAGAAGTTGGATATGGAATACCGTATTCTGCTGTTTCGTTTGGTAGTCCTTGTCTCAAGTGAAAATTGAAAAATTTCCTCGCAGAGGGCCCGGAATTAAACACGTAAAACATAAAACAGTTGCATGTTTTGAAGTCAGCATCTCCAGAACTAGTTTCTAGTGAAAAATTCTTGAGACTTGAGCAGCGCATTCCCAACCCACAATATTTTCATTTATATTTCCCAAAGATTTGAACATCGGCCAATAAGTGTATTCTATAGTGTATTTTGATGAAATGTACCGTGCACCATAAAATAGAGAAAAAATATTTTTTTTTCTTAGGGAAAAATTCATTTGGGTTATTAACTTAACGTACTTATAAACTGCGTAATCTTTAGTCTAAAGTAAATACTTTAAAATGCTGTCGTTAGGTGGGAAACGTTTTTCTAAGGTCTTAGTTATGTCGATTTTCTAGTTAGTAGTAAATCGTATAAATAGGTACCTGTTTGCATACGAAAACCCATAAAACAGCCAATCGCAACGCTAATAAATCATTTGCCTAATAAACTTATCTATACAGCCCTATTTTTTAAGGTATCGATTTTAAGTTAATGACTCTTGGACAGGTAATAAATCTTCTGTTGAAGCTTACTATATGTTAAGCACAAGTCTATTTTGAATTTTCATTAATAATGGTTTTTCACAGAGTTTGTATTAAAATGGAAATTTTGTTAGACAATTTTAGAGTTTACGGCGCTAGGTGATATATATATACTGTGAACATAAATCACTATGCTTCTGTGTAGCGAAGATCCTCTTATTATTAAAAATGATATATTATTGAACGCCATTGGTCAAAAATGCAATAAACGTAGCGACAAACTTGTATTTGCGATTTGTAAAAAGCAGTTTTAGAAAACTTCAGTTTTTATGCTTGCCATTTATAGAATCTTTTCGGATATCTGACAGCAATAAATTATTGATGTTGCCATGATGTAATGAAATAAAAAAATAACAGAAAATTAGCCGTTTAGTAACCCTCAATGTATGTACAGATTTCGACAATATGCGATGCATTTATATACCCATAGATCTTAAAATCAGTTTAATTCTATTCAAGGGGGCGTTAGCCCATGTGAAAATATACAGAGATCCACGGATGGCTGCCGAACAATGTAAAACGGATTTCCAGGTTTGTTTTATTGTTAGTATTAATAGCGTAGCAATTATAACTGAAACGAATTCATCATTTATTAGCATTACAAAGTTGATTGTACGTGAAAATGACAAGTTATAAAACAATTGTCATCAAATGATTTATCTATAATTTAGTTGTTGTTGCAGAATCTAGCTGACCGGTTTTATTTCAGAATCGCTCGGTTATGCGTTTCAGCAAAAAAAATCAGCAAAATGTGATTAATGCATTTTGAAATACTTTCTTTTATCATTAGTTTTTTGTTCTCGTATCCAGCTAATTGTTACACAACATATATGTTGTACACCAATGTAAACACAATATTTTGGGCATATAATTCTCACTAACAGCGAAAGGATTTGTATGTATTATTATCATCGAAATTAAGCTAAAGTAACTTACCTTAATTACTTAACTTAACTTTGGAAAATTGGACATTTTTCATTAACGACTAAGAGCAGTTTTCTCAGCTGCAAGTTTTCGTCATTAGTAAAAAAATTTTTAACAACCTAATGTTTTAGGTGAAACTACGTAATCAAGAAAGGCCATTTGAAAATACTTTTGCCCTCATGTGTTCATTTGATCGTACACGTACAGCTTTTGGAATTATAACTCCTTATGCAAAGACGGAAAATCCGGAAAATTAAATTAGAATCTAAGATTGAGCAACTAAGTTAGAAAAATATCATACTTTCTTGATTTCTGCGTGAAAAAAGGTTTTAAGATGAGACGAGTAACAGCTGAATCCTGTCATCGTATACCTACGGACACTAATCTCCTGTGAAATTTCTTCGCTTTTTAAAGAGATTTTTTACACTGGGCAGCAGAAAAGTTATCCGGTAAACCTTCCGTAGTCAAATTCACAAAAATCTGAACTTACAAATTTGTAAAAAGCATTTGCAAGCTGCGAATTTGCTCCCCTATGACAAATGATAAAAATAGATCAAAAGGTTACCGAAAAGAGGTAACTGACAGAAAACGTGGAAGCAACAAAGTCTTCAGGTAATAGCATCCTGAAAAAAGCATGAAAAGCACTAAGAAAGCTTATAAAGAAACATAAAAAAGACTACGAGAATATTTGTAAATTCTTGAGTAACTGAGTTTGATTAATTTCCACATAATGCCGAAATTTCCAAACTTTCACTGGCCGTTGGTAATAAGTCTACAAAAACGTTTCTTCCATCGTTTCAACATTATTTTGAACAAAAAAACCTTAGACAAAGTGCCTAAATTGAACAGAGCACGATCGCATAAACATACTTTTAAAAGTCTAAAGGGGTGAAAAGGTAGACAAATTATTCATGGCAATAAAGCTGCGGAAAGCCCTCAATATAAATTACAGTTTTTCTATTGAAATTCCCATTTTACCGTAACGCATACGTGCAAATTTGATTCAAATCCGTTGAGACCATATTTGAACCCCATCCATTATATTAACCCATATAACAGCCTTAGAAAGAAAGTTAGTTTTCAATATTATGCTATCGCGAAAATAAATGGTGTTCGTAAAGGATTCTAGATTTGTTGATTTAGACAAAAACATCTACACAATATTTCTCAGAAAAAAAAACAAACAATCCATCAAATAATATTTCAGACTATACACTGCTTAAAACGCACAAGGCATGATATACAAGAAAGCTATTTCGTATATATATCTATACTGTGGTTCACATTTAAAATTGGTAGAATGTCTCGAGTGTAAGTTTAAATCACTTATTAACCAAGTTTGGTTTTTAATCGAAATGTTTTCAAATATTTATGCGATTATTGAAAATATATTTTTATTTTTCATATCCCCATATTTTGTCATTTGCTATACGTTAAACCTCTTTTGTAATTAAAAACCGCAAAAGTTCCTGTTACGTCGGGTTTTTCCGGTACATCCCTTTGTATGGCCGGTTTTGTTAAAAGCTCTGGCTGAATAGTAATATAATTGATATGTTCCGGCGATTATTTCGTACAAACCTCTTTTAGAATTAAAATAAACAATACCTATCACAATCAACTTGCATAATCCGTTTTACAGATTTCACTGCTCTGATTTCTTTCCTTTCTGATTTCTTATTTTAACAAATTTTCATCTACTTACTAATATTATTTTAATGATGTTTTTTTTACTAGGATATTACTGTCTTGCACGACGCGGATTTAGATAATAGTTTAGAGAATAACGTAAGTCGTTTTAATGAATTTCTACTACTAACATTTAACCCATGCATCAATAAAGTTATCCAGATTTCAATATGCCCCATCAAGAAAAACTACTTGAAAGGCAATTACTAACATTCAGATGGATATGATAAAATTTTTGAAAACTCAGCAACTATTTTAAACTCCAACATTCATAAATGCATATTTTTAATTTAAACAGCATATAAAAGAATATGTTTTAAAGGTACATGCATGTGTACGTATACCGACGTAGACTTCGATGTATTATTTATTATCTTTCTTTTATTTGTATTTCACTCTTTACTTTTGCTTACTAAAATATTTTTATGCTGTGTTAATTTTGTATGTTTTAATTTTTATTTTTATTTTGTTAGGAAGTTGAAGAAGACGAGTTTAGTAATGACATAAACAGTTATGTAAGTAAAAAATAGTTATTCTGATATTCAACTAACACATCTAACCAAATAATAAATAATATAGTCTTACAATATATTGATAAGTTTTCGTCTCAATATTATTAATTATTAAGTAATGCTGTATATCAATTCTAATTCAAAATAGTTAAAATAATTATACCAATCGACCACGTAACCAACTTTTTGAAATTTTCACATGATAATAACATACTTTTATTTTAATTCATAAATGTTTGTCACTACTGCTAAGGCTGAAAGGTAACTTTTATTAATGGCAAACGCAATTTGCACACCTCCAGTCCTCTGTTTCAACTCAAACTTGCATAGGCCGGTGAAACCGTGGACCATAAAAATCGCATTTCGTAGAAGCGGATTTATTGAAAATCTCTCGTACTGCTTGAAGGGTAGTAAAATTGTAATTTCATCGGTTCTAAAACCGCCATACCAGAATGGTGGTAGATTTTAGAGTGTGTCATAAAATCCACCTCGGCAAATCCACTATAAAATGTACACCGCACTTCAAAATTATTGATTTATGTATGCAAACTCTACTTAGTCGTTGGAATATGAAGTCATATGGCGCTTAGTTTATGTCTTCTGGAACCGCTCACTAACGGAATAAGCAAAAGATTATGACGAGTATTTTTTTTAAATGTATAGCTTAGAAAATTTAATTATGGATGGAATGACTGATAATTACACAATTGCATTAAATCAGCTTTAGTAATACGCAAAACAGTTGCAAAACATGAGATTATAGGAAATTCATATACAATTATACCCCAGATACTTTGTGAATGTCTTTCGAAAATCTACTTACTTGACGATTTTACGAAAACGATTTAGCGTTCAACCACGAAATATTATGACGGCTGGTTGATAAAGCGAATTTTACGAAATCTTTTCAAAATTGCTTTTCTGTTTTCCATATCAAATCAATTCACCAATCGAAATTTTAAATATTCGCCTCTGAGTTTCTGCTAAATTTAATACACGAGCGCAATAAAGAAAACGTTGTAGTTTTTCCGTCAAAAAAACAGTTTTTCCAAAACCGAAACAATTTAATTTGAAGCAATGTTTCAACACAGAAGAAAAATATTATTTAGGGCGATAGATCAAAGATCAGCGAGACATACTTTAAACAAAATACGACAAAATGTAAATATATAAATCATGCATTCCGAATTTCGTTTGGCTCTTGAACGGAAAAATTGGCAGTAATAAATGAGAACATTGCTTTTTTTTTACCAAACGCAGTGAAAATGAAATTAATGAAAAGCCTCACAAACGTTGCTCCCGAATAGGAGAAGCATCCCTTCTCGGAAAAAGTTTATTTTTCATATTATAAAAATAATTTAAACTTCACATTGTATTGGAAAAATCGTTTAATTCCCATTGCAGGAAATGTCAGATGTAAAAGGAATTTTCCAGTTTCTAAACGATATTAGACCCTCATTTGTTAACTTTCAAATTATATTTTAAAGGGGTTCTTATTGAGGTTTTCTCATTTGAGTTTTTGGACAATAAAAAACACAACAATCATCTTGACAACATTTATCCGATTAAGTACCACTTTTACCATTTTTGACTGTGCATTGAAATTATAAGTCTCAACTCCCTCTCTGCGGTTTGGAAATTTTAGGTTTAATTTAAGCCGCTTATATTTTGTCTCGCTCAAACTCTCCTTTGCCGAAGCTTAACCTTCGAAAGTCCAGAAAAGTCAGACAAGCAGATTTATTGAAAATCATTTGTATACTCTGTGCAGCATCGTAAAATTTTTATTTCATCGGCTTTAAAACCACTTACCGGTATGGAGGAACTGTTTAATAAGGTTTGTCGAAAAATCTACGTAGCAAATCCTCTGTGAAGTATGCACATATCCAGGCAATTAGATTGTGGATTGTGCATTAATTGCGGGAACTTCGTATATAGCTATAGTTTTATGTAAAATTTACATAAGTTAAAATATGTTTACTGGCTTTTCCATCATGCGTATTTGATTTTTTAATTAAAATTATGTTGCAGTTATTCGCAGAATGAAAAGTAATGTAATGAGCTATATTTATTTTTTTTCTAATTTAAGTTAGTACAAAAATCAAGGCAATTAATTGCCTATTCCCTGATTTCTTTGATATGTAAAAAATTGTCAATTCTTTTTTACTGCTAATTTGGTATGTGACTAGCCCATAATCGGTCCATATGGTGGGCACAATAACGTCGCTTTGGACAACATGAAAATTATTTCAGTAAATTAATAATTGGCAGAAATTAAACACTTTCCGTAACCACTAAAATAACAACTGATTTATAACTAAAAACTAGAAACTTGTAAACTAAGAAGTAGGCTAGTAGAATGTATTACATCAAGTTTCAGCAAAATTGCATTGAAAAAAAGCATATGCCCATGTAGATAATAGCTGGGCACCAAATTGGATGTAAATTATGAAATGATTGGAAACCAAATATTGTGACCACGTTTTTGTTTACGATTAATCAACATTTAATAGTGTTTTAAACAATCCTGGTAGCTGAAGATTAAAACTTTAAAAAATTTGAGCTTCTAAAATTTTCACAAAACTTTTTATCATGTGTTTTGATAGCTCTGATATCTAACGATAATTCCTAAGAAAACGTCGGTATTGACCCCCTTGTAATTGGGCAATTATGCAATTATATTTTGCAGTAGGTAGTTTTTTACATTAGACAAGACACGGAAAAATCTCCATGGAATAGGAAATGACATAAATAAAATTAACTTACCACAAGGTACGTTCTGGCGCAGTATATTTCTTCATCCTGTAACAAAAAGTGTTGGCTTTAACATAGCAGTGATTTTCCGCAATTTCCTATGGTCGCGTCAGACGTAAGAACAGTATTAAACTTGTTTGATTAGGTATAAAAGTTAGCCTTATATTTAGATCAATTTCAAAAACTGCAAACATAATAAAGCAGCAACCGCAGTGAAACGTTGCAATATGTAAATACTATTCCCTTAACATCAAACTTCAGTTAAACAATAATAATTATTGTATAACATTTACGGTGAGTTGGACGAAGTTGCTTATTAACCTATTTTATATATGTCTGTTCCAACTGTATTAAGCGCAAATATGGAAAATCAGACAACGAAGCTCTCATTTCCAGCCGCATTTAATATTTATTCGTACGTTTGCAGGTGGAACGAACAGATTACCCCCCTTTCCGTAGAGAAGACCCCGATGGCCTGGGGACATTTCCGCCGCCACCGCCCCCGCCAGACGGTAAGGGCTGTTTGTGCGGTGCCAACGAAAACTGTTGTAATTTTATTTTTAACGATTTGCAAGCAGCAGGAAGGTATAGAAACGAGAAAGGCGAAAGAGGGCCACGGGTAAGTTATTGATAAGAATTGTAAAAGATAGTAAAAGGGAAGAATAAGAGGTGAAACTGTGCAAAGGCGCAGGCACTACCCCAGAACGATGTGGAATAGATAAATTTATCAAACCCTGTAATTAGATTACTGTCAAATATTTATGAGAAGTTCCGAGACACGTCCACTGTAAGTTAAGAAAAGACATTCTGCACCATCAAAATTCCAACCCTCCAATGCGAAAATTAGGACTAAATTAAGTTCATATCACATTTAAAATGTTGAAACTTAGCAAAAACCATTGTGTGTTTTGAACTAAATTAACCTTAAACTTTAATCAACCGGTTTTTACTTCAACGAAACATTAAGTTTCATTAAGAAAATGTTTTAGACTGATATTGATAAAATATGGTCCAAAATCTGATACAATTCACGAACTTTGCAAATGGCCAAAAGTACAAATATCTGCGGCACAGTATCTGTGACTTCAGAAGAAAGGCGATTATGAAATGGCGTGCTCTAATCATACACGCACAGTGATAATTAGAGTTATTAAAATTTACCCTTGGTCTAATACCTGGTTTGCAGTGTAATAATTTCCATAATTTCTCTGCGATAACACGGCTACTCGCTTTGTACCAATTTTCAGCTACGGTGTGCTATAATTAAAACAACTTTAATAAAATATGACGGTTATATTACAGTACTTCCGGATTCGGTCTGTTTTCGATTGAGTTGCAATAGCCGCAATATTTCAGAAATGGACCGATTTTAGCGGAAACTGGGACGGCTTGAGTGTCCAGATTGATATAAAGCCATTGTTTTAGGCAACATTTAACCAGCTTAGTTGACCCTGTCGAGTAGCTTTAAAACATTACCCGTTTGCCATTGTGGAAAATGGCGAAGAATTCTTATTATTGCCTGTACAGAATCATCTGATGTTCTAGCAACATAAATAAGGTCTATCGCAGTTAATTCAACCTATAAGACCAGTACAAATTTTTTAAAATAATCTTGCATTTGACTGAATAAAAATTGGAAGCAAGCAAACATATTTAATTGTTGACCGATCATTCGTTTGAAGAATTTCGATGTTTGTTAAAAGGTGCGTTTTGTATTACATTCAAAGCTTTATCAAACGACGAAAATGCTCAAGTACACTTACTACTATTTCATCAATCCACATATCAAATGTTTCGTTTTCCTTTTTGTATTCCTTGAAACGTTAAGTAAAGCAAAAAATCTAAATTTACAAATCGAATCATCAAAATCAACTTGAACATTTTGATTTCAAGTTAACGCCAAAACAACTCCTGAATTAAAAAAGAAGACAAGTTTTTTAGAATGTCTAGACTCATAAATCAAACGGTCTGGCTCAAAGTTTCTTCTAACGTTTAAAGAGCTTAATTAGGATTTGCATGGCAGTAACCGCTAATAAGAAACTCTATCACACAATTTAACAGAACGCATATAAATTCCTTATACCAAGAAGAAGTGAATCACTGATATTCTGAGTAATTGGGGCTTATTTACTGTAATTAATGTTTTCTTTAGTTGGGCAATCAATAAATTCTAACCCATCCTCCATTTAGTTGCACAATTTGGTATTTCACTTTTTTCCTCTTGAGTTGGTGTTCGTCTGCACTTGATTGGTCACATTTGTTGTTAAGACCGTATTACTTATTAAATTTAACTCAGTTTTTCCAACTGGTTGATTATTGGTACACAAATGTCCAATCATGGCAAGATCAAATCATCATAATCATCATCAAATCAAGCATCAGATCAATGATCAAGATCACATTTGTTTTACGAACTTTATATATAATTTGGTAACGTTCTCTTGGTCATCTGCCAATACTTAGGTGTCGTCTGCTTATTGTACGTTGTTGATATTTTTTATTAAAGAACACGTTTTCATCACCTCTTTGAAGAATAGGGTTTGAATGCATTTTGAAAAGAATGAGGGAACAACCTCTCTTTAAATATCCATGATATTTGATATTTGCTCCTCAATATTGACTGTTTCACTATATCACTATATGAGCACTTATGTCGTTTCCCGAGTTACTACAATATTTCGAGAACCAAATTCAGTTTCTCTCATCATTTCTTTGCGGTTTTGTGTACCAGGCGCTCTTTCATCAACGGCGTTAAACTTGGGTCGTCATTCAAAATATCTTATATACATAGATTAATTTTTACGCTTTTAACTTGACCTTTATTCTTAAAAGCAAATTGCCATGTATGGATTCGACTGAATTCCCGCTTATCCCCTCCTCAATTTCCTTATGTAAGTTTACAAGATGATATCGCTCATTCAGTTCTTCTGTGTCCTTACATCCTTGATGCGTTATTTTGATTTTTGCGCTGGTTTTATGTCATTTATTGTTGGTGATTAAAACTGCAAACTTTCTAAATAAGACATAAAAATCTCTTTTTCCCAAGAAACTTTCAAATTCTTAAAATCCACAAGAAAATTGTCCCCAGTCGTATTTTAAGACGAAAATTGGAATGAGAAAGATGTTATTTTAGGGCATACACCTTAATACTAATGTATACATCATATTATTTGTTTGTGTCATTTACCAATATGCGCTTTTCTTTCATTTGATCTTAACAGCCCGGGATGTTAAATAAAATCGGGACTACGTGCCCACTAAAAGATATTCCATGAAAAACCGCATATCTGGAATTGCAATCATTTTGCGTAGATCTCCCAAATGAGATTTACAAATGGTCATACAATGTCAGCATAGTGGGACGTGCTCGGATTGGATTATCCCAATATCCAATGCATATAAGGTTTCCAGCCTTTAATTTGGCTCTTTTTGCTGTACTTCAATTTGTAGCCGTCATGATCACTCGACTTTTGATTATGCATTGCCATATAAAGCTTTGCCGGGAAACGGAAGGAAATTACTCGCACAGAAATTTCGATGCAATTCTGCATTCTGCGCCGTATCGGTAGCATGTTCTTTTGTGATTTTTTAATTCATACGGCTGACAGGGTCTATTATCGTATGTTTCATAATTTTCCTTTAGTGCAGATCCACTATTGGAAAATAGGTACCTTTTTAGTGGTGTTCATAAAACCATATTTAATTAAATTTTATACTTTATCATAGCACCATTGTGCATCCGACTGACCTAATTTATATTCAACATAAATATAGCGTCTGGAGCACCAAGACATCCTAATTTTGCCCGCGTATTATAAAAGCAATTTCTTGTCAATAAGTAACTTATTTCGGCTTAATCTTTTCATATTAGGTCCAGTCATTGTATATTTTATTATTCAATTTTAGTGCGTTTATTACCTAGATACAATTTTTAGTTCATCTAGTGGACGCATAGAAATGCAGATTAAGACGGCTCCCAAGTAGAATACTGAAATAAAATACATTCCAGTCGGTTTACAGCTTCTAAAGGTTTTTCCCAAACATGAAAGCCGTCACGTGTTTAAAGCAGATCCTGCCAATTCAATGAGGACGATTTGGGTCATTTTGACTAAAAGCAGTAACAATCATTTGAATAGCTTTGAGGCAATCAATAGACTTTGTATCACTATTCTTATTTGAACAAATAAATATATTTTTGAACACCAATGACTGTCCTTCCTCCTAGCAAAATATTGTCATATTGGTTTTCATCTGGACTATAATTAGAGTATCACTTGTAGTTACACTTCAACCAAGACCTATATGCATAAATCGCGAATGTGACACAATTTTAACCGATACAAACTAACAAACCTATTTTAGAGTATAAAATTATCAATGCGATATAGAGTATTTCGTAAGCAATCAATATCGCAAAGGTTGTTTTTACAGCTTCAAATGATTTAATCTTTCATAAATTTCTGATAAATTTGCAATACGAAAACACCTCGCTCTGGAAGCAATAAAATGAAATATGGATATGAAAAGCAAGTCCTTTCAGTGCAAACCGCTAGGAGCCTTTGTTTTGACATCAGAATAAATAGAAACGTATTGTAAATAATAAATTCTTACTCAGCCCAAAATTATTAATATTCTTACTTGCTCGGGCGCAAACCTTCCAATGTCTGCAGGTCTCGCTTTTGTTGTTGCTTGAGCGCTCTGGCTGTTTTTTGTGCAAAGAATGGGAACAAAGGTCTTGCTTTAGAAATTATTTATCTTAACCACAATTGTTTGCTTTAGTGCTAGATTACTTACTACGGCACGAGTTGATTTGGATAATAACGCCTTTGGCTATATACGTGGAAATAGATTTCATAATATTCAAATAACTACAAAAACGTTTGCAAATGATTATGTTGTCAGAATATGTATAAATATGCAAGAAACTGATTTGCATCCTTTACGTTCAAAATCTGTATTAGCTGCACTTTCCAGAGAAGAGCTTTTCATTTTAAAAAATACATTAAGCAAAAACTCAATTGCGAAACAACAAACCAAAGAGAAAATATCGATATTGCGCCTCGAAGCGGGATATTGCTTGTTTTTATTTTAGATATGCATGAATTGAACGTTAAAGTATACACTCAAGTGATTTTACAGATATTGACGAAACTTTCCGAATATGCGTTCAAACTTACGTGAAATTCCTTTGTTACTCGAGCCATGTGATGTTTGTCAAATCTGCAACAAGTAGGCGGATATGAGCTTTTTCGTATTTTTATTCCATTCGGGCTTCAAGCAAGAAATATGGTTTAATATACATTTTTCCCCCAATAAATATGGTAAAACAACAGGGCATTCATTTCGTATCAAATGAGATGTTATTGAAATATAAATTTTGAATGTTTACAACTGTAGTAGTGCCTGCGTTTTGTCAAAAGCTTTGAACAAATGTGCGGGTCGTTTTTAGATACAAATTTTGTAGAATCCCGATCAGTATTAAACAGATAATTGTCTTCTTTGGCAGGGACCACCCGGAGAATCCATTCGAGGACCTCCAGGACCCCCGGGGCCAGCAGGCCTACCAGGACTAGCTGGTCCAGAGGTAAGCACAAAATTCTTAAAAAATATACTTGGCGACTATTTCTTATGTTTTGTGGCAAGAGTAAATAACTAACGCAAACTAAACCACTTAAATCAGACAATGTAATTTAAATTTTCAAAATTTAATTATTTGTAATTCATAAAAGAAAACGTGATAGTTTCTTGGTTTTTTCACTTTTCCTAGACGCAGCCCCCAGTATAACTCTATCTAATTAAAATTTCACAAATTAAAAGAATTTTCAACTGGCAACATCGTCATTTGATCATAAAAACCATGAAACTATAAAAAAGTAGAATAAAAATACTGCAGAATCACACAAAGAATTGAATAAAGTGAATGCCATTCATTTTCTATTTAGTCGGGTTTTATAAATACTTGACTGAGCAAAGCTCTGAATTAAAACGTGTACTGAAACGTGCTTTTGACTTCTCTCAATAGAAAAAGCCACATCACGGTTGAAACTAAAGTAGAGCTACACGCTACAAAGTGATGAAAAGATTAAATGTGCATCTCGGTTTTTTTTTAAGTTAAATGAGACAGCAGTGAATTAAACAAGCTCGCATAAAAATATTGTTGTTAATCTACTCTTGACTGTGTGCTCTTTTCTTTCAGAACACATGTACCTGCAATGCTACATCCATACTTAGTTCAATTGGAATCAGCCTTCCATATTCTCCACCCCTCCCGGCACTCTCAGGAAAAGAAGGCACTCCTGGAATACCGGGAGTACCGGGGAGGCCGGGAGAAAAAGGCTTGATGGGTCCGAGAGGCGAAAAAGGAGAAAGAGGTTTGCATCAGTGCACATTCGTCATTAAGATTATTCTATAAAACATACAACAGCAATACTTTCTTTATGCTACTACCCTAAGCAATTACATATACAATTTTCACCTGCCTAGTAAACCGAGCAAAGAAAAGACACCAAATAGTTGTGAGTACTGGGAAAGCAAAAAGGATAAAGCACTTCAGAGGTCTGACGTACAAAAACAAATAAGTCTTCACGCTGCGGTGGAGCAGTTTTCAAAGCGAAAAAAACGGTAGAGTATTGAAAAACAATTTAAGTTTGCTTTATAAAAACATGTAAATTCGAAAAACTTTTTGTTAAGGAATTACAGGGCGTTTAAATTTAGCTTAAAGGAAATCAAATTAACTATTTGTTACCAATCGGCTGTGGATATTAAACCGAAATTTTGTAAGCGATACCTGCAAACGATCGAGCAAACTTTGAGATAAAATCTTTATTTTTTGTTTTGTCAGTGGCGTCTCTGATGACAATTCAATGGATGTTTATAGGAAAAAATAATACGCCGCTGCTTTTGCATAAAATAAAAATTCAGTTTCAGACAAGAGCTTTTGAGTTTTCAATCATTTAATGAAACTGTAATATAATAAAATAACAAATTCGACATCGTGTTATTAAACAGTTTACTGCAGATGATGCTCTTATTTTTTTCTTTTAAAACATCCATTAACGTGTTAGTTCGGATACCACTGACTAACAAAAAAAATATTACAAAATGTGCTCCCGCAGTGGCAGTTAGCGCATGCAAGTTTTCGTTTAAATAGCCAAAGCCGTTTGGAAACAATGAAGAAATCTGACTTTCTTAAGCCAAACTTAAACACCCTATATTTTCTTAACGACGCGTTTTTTTCAAATATAGTTTATATTGCAAATTAATATTGTTTTTCGATTTTCTAAGGTTCCCTTAATTTTACGCGTGGAAAACTGGACCACCGTGTAAAGCGACAAAAATACATACGTATTCACTTGAAAACCGCAAGACATTATTGGCAAACGTAAAAGACTAAATGGAAGAACATATGCAAACGCACTGACAACAAATCGCGCTGATATTAATTACCAAAATTAAATACCGCTAGAACCCACTGCACAACTCCTCAAATCAAATTCAACTGAATTCACCAAACTAACACTTAACTGACCTTAACATATGTAACAAACAACTATAAATACAAAAAAATTAGGAGAGAAAAGGATAACTGGACCATAGATAAAATGCAGGACAATTATTCAGTTATGAAGATAAATGTGAATGTCTATAAAACATAATTATTGCAGGTGACAGGGGGGCTCCAGGGCCGCCAGGTCCGCCCGGGCCAAGAGGCGAACAGGGAAAAGATGGAGTCGCTGGACCACCAGGACCACCTGGCCCCAGCGGACCTCCAGGTCCAACAGAAATTGATGATGTTAATGTAAGTTCACTTTTCGCATTCCACTCTATAATCATTTGGATTATTTATTACATTCCTTGTTGATGTTCAAGCGATCTCCAGACGTTAATGCTTGTGTATCAAGTCCCGAACTTTTTAAGAAATTAAATTAAGAACTTGAGGTCGCACGAAATTATATTAAGATTTTAAATATTTTGAAAAGCTACTGAATGGGCTTTGAAGCATAAGCTAAGTAGACTACATAGATACATGCAAGGGTAATATTTAATGGATACATTAGTTTGTTTTTTAATTTCAGGTAAATGACTTGAATAAGGTAAGATATTGTTGTAAATGCATGATGTAGCCAACAATAAAGACCTTTCGTATTTGAACCATTAAATAATACAAAATTTATCTTCTTGATAATGATTTTCAATAAAAAAGTGACTTTCTATACTTAAAAGTTTTTTTGGGATATAAGGAATTTAGTTTATTTATTAAAACTGTTAACAACTTGTTAAAAACATTACACATGGCATGACAATTGACTATGAAATTCTTAATAAATTAATTTTATGAGATTTGCGTTGCTGCAAAGCTGTCGATATCAATTCCTTCAATTCAAATTTGTCCCATTTCTTCAGGCATTTTACAGGAAAAATGGAAGAACTGTTTTGAATGTTCACGTATTTTACCTCTACACGTCGTAAATAAATCTACCGCATATCCGTAATAAAATTAATTGGTATCTACTGCTATTTTCAGACTTATTATTCCTATTAAGTTATTTGTACCTTTTTAACAGATTTTTACCTTTCTTCGTGGTAATACAAATAACACATTCATGCTTGTATAATGCTACAAAAACCAACTATGTTTAAATTTTTTTGCTAATTTGAAAAAATTCCTTGCAATCCTTTGTAGCGTGCTTTTTTTAAATTTCAACACAAAGGGAATTTTCAAAATCCACCAAATCATGCAAATATTCAAGAGATCAGGATGTACCGTTCAGTTCAGTTCAACATCATTTCTGCCAGACAAATACAAACGGGCTGAACCATCGATAGAATTTAATACATTTACTATTCAAGTACGCTTTGAAAAAACGTTTGCAATGCATACAATTTTACCAATTTAACCAAATGCTGGAATGCCATATTCGTATTCCCTAAATGTGTATTAAAATGTCATAGACAATTTCCATGTACGATATACAAATCAATAAAGTCTATTATGCAATATGTTAATGCACATGTCCACGTTGTCGGACGTCCGATTGAAGCTTCAATCAGTTACAAGCAAATTCCATCTTCAATGCGAAATGCGAATGTCCTGCTTACCCTTTGTGATCCTGTCCCCACCAGTTTTATAGCAGCAGCAATCCGAACTGTAATATCCTTCGATATTGGCGTAATAAATATTTTTTAAATCTGATTTGGAGCATCCGGCATTCAAGTAATTGCCTTGTTTTAACGTAAAGCCGAAATCCTCTTTTTAATTAGACCAATAAATAATAATAATATTATTTTAATAAAATAAATGTACCAAGTAATAAAGCTATAAGTAAGGAAACTAACGATACTTGAACAGATCAGCAAATTTATATTTAAAAGATTTCGGATATATCGTTTTCAGGAAAAGCACCAGCTTACTGTACAATATATTTAAGCACTAAAACATTTGGTAAAAAGGTGAAATTGCTATGCTGCCATTAAGATTTGCACTTATGTGCCAAAATAAATACGTGCACCATTTGGTAACCGAGAACCAATCTATTTCCTCTAATGGAAGCCAATAAAAGCCAGATAATTCTCCGCTTTAAAAGGCTGCAGTTTAAATAATTACTTTAAAAGGGTCAATATTTTTCGCTATCCGTTTCCCTGTTCCAATAGCTCGAGGGAAATTATTAACAATTAATAGAAATCGATTCTATGCGCTGTAGTAGACTCCCTATAGAATATTCAAGATATGATGAACCCATTGGATGGCCCCGATTATAATACTAGAAGTAGACGTCGTTACTACGTATTCAAGGAAATTTCCGGCGGCTGATAAAAAGAGCTCAATTGAGTGAAATATAATAATTTGGCAAGCTTGACCCAAAGACCAAAGTTTTTAATTGCAAGAACAAACGAACAAGATCCGAAAAAATACACTGGGTATAAATGCTTCATCTTTAGCACCTTTCCATTTATACCCGCAAACTGCGGTTGGCCTGTCTTCGGTCGTGACCCATTCCATATTCCAATTACAGAACCCGAATTAGCTACGAATAACAATGTAGTTAACGAAGCGTTCCCTCGACAATTTTTGGGATTCGTCTCTTACTGATACGAGAGTTTATCGTTCTGCCTTGTTCCAATCATATCTATTGTTGGGAAACAAAAATGTGTTCAGGTCGAAAAAATATTTAATTCAATTAATTAAACGCATAAAAATGAAGTTTCAGAAGAAGGAAACATTGTTTTTTTTTTCGAAATTGTATAACTCTTTAACCACTTATCGGGGGTAATTGCATAAGTGCTTCAAAATTACCGATAATTTTGCATGAAAGCTTGTTGTCTAAAAACTGCATGAGTTTATTTTCATATTGTGGCGAAAAAGCCCGACTCCGAAGGAGGAGGGATTTTTCTTTCCAATGTGAAAATAAACGAATGCAGTTTTTACAAGACAACAAGCTCGAATGCAAAATTATCTGTTAATTTTGATGCACGAGTGTAATTTTTATGAATATTTCCTCAGTAAACAAAGTTAATGTGGATTCATTTTATTTCTATTATATTTTATTACACTTTTAATTTTATTACTTATGTTTATTAAATATAATTTGAATATCTTAGGATGTCAGGAAGACATTTTATGTCTAATTCAACACGAAAAGACTGAAGAAAATATTTTTTGGAAACCATGCAATTATCGTTGAGTGATAATTGCACACTGTGCAATTACCGCTGTAATTTTTCGATAATTGCACACTTCAAACGGAGAGATTATCATACGAAGGAAATATTCAGAGTAAGAAGTACCGAGCCCGGACCGAACATGATAATCACGTAAAAAAGTGGGGAGGAACCACGTAAAATAGACGTCGGCCCAACTGAAAGTCACCCTTTTGGCCACAGCAAATTCACGTCTATAAACGACATACGTGGACGTCACAAAACATTCAAACTTAAAAGTGCGTTTTTCAAAAGTGTACAATACGGTTAAAGAACAGTATATTAAACGAAATAAACCAATATGAACGTTCTAAGAAGCACATATTTAATTCATATATTTAATTCATATATTTAAAAGCAATAGTTTAAAGAATGAAACGGCAAAACCTAAATCAAGGCAAATGCACACAAATATGTCATAACGGATACACAGAAAATTACCTTAAAGAACGGACTAGGAAATTGGAGAAACAAACTGGAAATGCCACAACAAAGTAGCGTAATAATCCCGTGATTTGACCTAAGTTCTTGGTTAGTTATCCTCATTCAATGTATTCATATCTTAGAACTTAGAATCAATAATCGATAGTTTTTCGCTTAATTATATCAGACTTTATTACAGGCTCGGTAGTAAGGGACTCTATCTGATTAAGTTAGGTAGACAAATTTAAACGAAATGTTTTGTCGGGTATACAATTTAATTTTCGCCCGTTTTAACCAATAATCCTTAAAGCATCATTCGGCACGCCATTTCCCATAGTAGCATGCTGCACAAGCGAGCAATGCCTCTATCTATACGTATAACTTATGATTCATGTCACGGAATATTTGTGTCGTCTTGGACTAATGGAAACGTTTAATGAGCAATGGAACTGAAAGCTCCTGTCTGGTTCAGTTAGTTGTTAAATGATCACACCTTTACTCATAAGATTAAGCAATTGAGATAATATAAAAACGAGTTGGCTTTTAATGTGATATAAACTAATAACCCAAACATCGAAAAAGTTTCAATAAATCCCTATACAAGATAGAAAGAACCGTTTTCGATTAACAACTTTTCCAAGGGACTTCGCCTACCTACAGGATATTCAACTCATTGAAAGCAGTAGTTTCAATAAAGCTTGGTTAAAAACCAAAAAAACGATTATGAAACGGCAGCAAATATATCATCAGTGAGCCGCCTCTGTTAATTGACAAATTGATATGCGCTTCAATAATAAAAAGCTAAATAGCTCTGTTTAGCCATCAGCAAAAGATATAACAGTAAAATCGTCCTTTTAATGTCCAGATTAGGGAAATCCTCGTTTAAATTGACCGCTATGTAAACTAAATAGAGACCACTCCGAACAACATACAAAATTGATAGTAAATTAAAACGCTAAAATCGTAGTAAAGCGAATGCGAAGTGGTCTAGGTAATTTTATTTTCATGATATCCGGTACAAAGCAGGGCCGCAACTCTAGATAGAACTAGCTGAAAAATGTTACAGTTTAACTCTAAACAGAGTTTGCATGCAAATGTTGGGTTAAATTCTCGCTATTTGTTTCATCTTGTTATACATCAATCTGTAATTTAACTGAAATTGACGGAAAAATAGTCAAACCGTGAATTTTCGACTGAACATCCAACATATACAGTGTAATGATTATCAGATGAAAACATGTTTATGTAAGTTAAGTAAACCGCACAAGCCCTGTGCATCTAATTACGATTTATGAGACCGAAACATTCTATCAATAAACTTCACTGAACCTCAGAAAGTTGCTGTCCGCTAAAGCATCACCTCAGAAAGGAAATCGTTTTTATTAGTAGTAACAAATTGGAACGACGGCAAAACTAGTTTAGTTAAATTATTCAGTATTAATTTATATTAGTATCAGTTTAAAAACTAGGAGGGACTGTGCTTTTGATTATTTGCGGATGCATGCAATTTTCACATTGCAGACCTACTGCTCTATACAGATTTTAAATGATTATTATTTTTTAAACGTAACATTTTTTTTAAATTGATTAACTTTTTCCAAGACAAACACACAATTTCATGCGTAAATAAATTAGCTGTTTTCATATATTAGTTAAAGGGTTATCGACATACCATATTTTAATTTAGCTTCTCTGGAAGTTAATTCGCTGCTAGGTTTACGCATGTACCCAAAAATATAAACCAAAGTTAATAGTTCTTCCATAAATCCCTTATGGTATTCTGGTTGTAACAGTTTTCACTTTTTTCAGTTCATTGACTGTTTGGTCAACTGTAATCAGAATAAAATTATATTTCCGCAAACATTATAAAATTTTCAATATTCGTTATCAAAATATGCTTCAGTTTAAGTACAGTTCTTACTATTTATAATATAATGGTGGGTAGTAACATGACCGCTCAAAAATAACCGAT